TATAAAGTTGAGAATTGTTCTTTCAAGGTCTGTGAAGAATTGTATGCTCTCCACTCTCTCCATACCTCTTCAATATTGTCTTGAAGTTCTAACTAGAGCAATAAGAAAACAAAAGGAGATCGAGGGAATACAAGTCGGAAAGGAAGAAGTCAAACTCTCACTATTTGCAGATGATATGATAGTCTACATTAGTGACCTGAAAAACTCTACCAGGGAACTCCTACAGCTGATAAACACCTTTAGCAAAGTAGCAGGATACAAGATTAACTCAAAAAATCTATACCCATACTATATACCTATGACACATTGGAGAAAGTAATCAGAGAAACATCACCCTTTACAATTGCCACAAACAACATAAAATACCTCGGAGTAACACAAATCAAAAAAAGTGAAAGACCTGTACCATAAGAATTTTGCTTCTCTAAAGAAAGAAATTAAAGAAGATAACAGAAAATGGAAAGATCTCCCATGCTCTTGGATAGGGAGGATCAACATAGTAAAAATGGCAATCTTGCCAAAAGCAATTTACAGATTCAATGCAATCCCCATCAAAAACCCCTTCCATTTATTACCTGTTGTTTTGATTCCTATCACGTGGGAGAAAGGAAAGGGGATAGACCAGTTCTTACCAGGCTTGGTGGCTTCACTTTCTGTAGTTAAGAAGATGACTAGCAGGGATGCTGTATTCATGGACACTGATGATGGCTCATCAGAACTTCCCTCGAAGAGGGTCCCCTCTAATATCTTTCATGTTTGTTCCCATAGGGTGGTGAGTTTGTGGCTATTTATTATGTAGAAATATATATACTTGTATATGCTGGAAAAACACAATAGCATTATGTTTCATATTTTAATTTGAAATGAAAACTTGATTTTATGAGAGAATTCAAGTAATCTGAACATCTGTAGTCTTAGTCTCAAACTAGGAAACTATCTAATTCAAGTGTTCTTTGTGCTAACTGCTATCAGTAGGCAATATGCATAGTACTTTTAAACAGACAAAAAGGCCCTGCATCAGAAAGAGTTCATTTCTTACTTCTAGTTTACTTTGTAAATGCTACAATCCCATTAACTGATTCAGGAGTGTCTGGTAAAGCTATGACCATCTAGTACCCAAACACAGCTGTTATCTTTCCTTTCTTATCTCTAGCCCTTTCACTGATGCTCTTTGTCCTAATGTCCTAGGGCTCCCCAGAGACAGAGACAATGCTGCATAGATTGGAATCACATGCTTCTGAGCTATTCTGAGAAACGTCTTAAAATCTGTTCTAGTATCATAATCAACGGTTAGATTTTAATGGTTGCCTTTATTTTATGCCTCTTTTTTTCTGTTAGTATTTTCAAATTACTTAATTCACATTGTGTTAAAAAATAAATCATACAGTAATAACATGTTAACAAATGTTGCTGATTTCACTTTTGTTTTCTTTAACTTGTCAATTGACATTTTGATAAGTAAGTATAATTGTAATGTTTGGCATTTAAAAATATTAGGAATTATTTTCTCCTTTTAGGAAATATTATTCTGTATCCATTAGCTCAGCAACATTTCATATTAACTGTAATATACTAAAAATATATGCTTTTCTTGTGATATATTGAGCTCTTATCATACAAAAATAATGAAACTTTTACATCTTTCCCGATAATATATTAGTATAAGTACAGCCTATATTTGTTGGAATGGTTTGCATTTATCAAGTATTTTGAAATATTGGTGTTTCCTTTTATGTGCCTGTTCAATTTGAGTGAGTGATTTTAGCATAATTGGAAGGAATGTGGACATGGTTTAAAACATCTTATGTACCTATTTTACAACCCTGCTTCTGTGGTTAGAAATGGTGACCTAGGGCCCGCAATGGACTCACATCTCCCGGACTAGCAAATTCTGAGTTAACAACAATAATTTATTCTTTTGTTTTTGTTCTTATTTTTGTTTTGTTTTGTTTTCTTTTACCAGCACATAAATTTGGCTGGTACTAAAAACTTCTTTATAAATCTTTCAAGTTTTATAACAACTCTACCTAAAAACACAGTTATATATGATAGACACCCCATAAACTACAATCCTGGATGTTGTGTGAACACTGACTTTTCTTAGAAATTTCAGCTTATTCACTGGAAATATAATGTATGTATAGTTATATTTCATGACATGGTATTGAAATAAAACCCAAAAGCAGCTTATGGAAGGAATGATTTATTTTGCTTCACAGTCTGGGAAGGGAGTTTCCATTATGGTGGAGAAGGATTGAGAGTCACAGTAGTGAACACACATGGTTTGGATAGTAATCTCTTGTTTTGCCAGGAAGTAGAAGATAGGCAGCCGGTGCCCACCCATCTCTCTTTCGTTTCTCTTTAAACATCCAAGAGGCTGGTGACCACTTTTAGGGTGGGGCTCCTCTCTTCAGTTAAACCTCTCTGGATATTCCTTGAAATACAGTAGGATGTGTATCTCCAGGGTGACTCCAAGTCCAATCAACTTGACAGTGAAGAAAGAACCATCATATTATGTTCATTTTACCCATGTCCAAGAGCCGCTGTGTGCTTACCTTCTTTCTAGGTTACTGGATCTAAGACCTTGACAGACAAGAGCTCTAGTCTTCTAGTACCAGTGACTTGCAGAAATTAACTCTTCTCTTTCTAATTCAGGATAGGGACAAACTCTCATGACATTGTATTCTCTAACAATCTGATATTATTTCATCTTTGGAAGTAGCTGGAGATGAATTGTCTAAAAAGATGAAAAGAGAAATAGTATATATTTTCAAATTTCTTTTTTTAAATTAAAAACAATCTTATTTTACATACCAATCCTAGTGCCCTTTCCCTCCAGTCTTTCCATTGCCCCTACTTTCTCTGCATTCCACCCCCATCACTCCTCAGGGTGGGTGAGGCCTCCCATGGGGTTCATCAAAGTCTGTCACATCATTTGGGGGCAGTACCTAGCCCCCAATCCCATGTGTATCTAGACCTCAAGAGTATCCCTCCATAGGGAATGAGCTCCCAAGACCCAGTCATGCAATAGGGATAAATACTGGTTCCACTGCCAGTGGCCACATAGACTGTCAACCCCCCCCCCCAACTGATACTCAAGTTCAGGGGACCTAGTTCAGTCTTAGCAGGTTACCCATCTGTTGGTTTGGAGTGCATGAGCTCCTACTTGTTCAGGTCATCTGCTTCTGTGGGTTTCCCCAGCATGTATTGACCCTTTTTCTCATTACTCCTACCTCTCTACAACTGGATTCCACGAGTTGGGCTTGGTGCTTAGCTGTGAATCTCTGCTTCTGCTTCCATCAGCTACTGGATGAAGGATCTATGATGGCATTTAAGGTAGTCATCAATCTCATTATAGGGAAGGGCATTTAAAATACCCTCTCCACTATTGCTTAGATTCTTACTTGAGGTCATCCTTGTGGAGTCCTGGCAATTTCCCTAGTGCCAGTTTTCTCCTTAACCCTCTATTAAGGTATCTCTTTCCTTGCTTCCCTTCTCTGTTCTTCCCCCAACTTGACCTTCTTGATCCCTCATGTTCTCCTTGCCCCCTCTCCTTCTCCCTTCCTCTTTCTCATACCCCCTCACACACCTATGTTCCCAATTTACTCAGGAGATCTTGTCCCTTTCCTCTTCTCAGGAGTCCATGAGTATCTCTCTTAGGTTCTTCCTTGTTTCCTAGCTTCTCTGGTGTTGTGGATTCTCTGGTCATCCATTTTTCTGTGTCTAATTTTCACTTATGAACGAGTACATATCTCTGTGTCTGGCTTACCTCACTCAGAATGGTTTCTTCTAGTTCCATTCATTTGGGGGATTTCAAGATGCCATTTTTTTTAATCATTGAGTAGTACTCCATGATGTAAGTGTATCATACTTTCTTTATTCATTCTTTGGTTGAGAGGCATGTAGGTTGCTTCCTGGTTCTAGTTATTACAAATGATGCTGCTGTGAACATAGTTGAACAGATGTCCTTGTGGTTTGACTGTGCATCCTTTGGGTATATGCCTAAGAGTGGAATTGCTGGGTCTTGAAGTAGATTGATTTCCATTTTCCTGAGAATCCCCCATACTGATTTCCTATTGGCTGTACAAGTTTTGATTCCCACCAGCAATGGAATAGTGTTCCCTTTTCTCCACACTCTCTCTAGCATAAATTTTCATTGGTGTTTTTTATTTTAGCCATTCTGACAGGTGTAAGATGGTATCTCAGAGTTGTTTTGATTTGCATTTTCCTGGTGGCTAAGCATGTTGAACGATTTCTTAAGTGCTCTATTGGGAATTCTCTATTTAGAGCTGTACCCCATTTTTAATTGGGTAATTTGGTGTTTTAGTGAATATCTTTTCCCATTCTGTGGGCTGCCATTTTGTCTTTTTGACTGTGTCCTTTGCCTTACAGAAGCTTCTCAGTTTCAGGATGTCCCATTTATTAATTGTTGATCTCAGTTTTGTGCTACTGGTTTTATGTTCAGGAAGTGGTCTCTTGTGCCAAAAGGAGATCAAGGGGATACATATTGTAAAGGAAGAAGTCAAACTTCCACTATTTGCAGATGATATGAAAGTTTATATAAGTTACCTAAAAATTCTGCCAGGGAACTCCTACACCCAATAAACACCTTCAGGAAAATGACAGGCTACAAGATTGACTAAAAAAAAAAAAATCAGTAGCCCTCCAATATATAGATGGTAAATGGGCTGAGAAAGAAATCAGAGAAACATCACCCTTCACAATAGCCAAATCAACATAAAATATCTTGGGGTAACACTAATCAAACAAGTGACAGACCTGTATGACAAGAACTTTGAGTCTTTAAAGAAAGAAATGTTGTTCTTATAAAGTAAGGACCAAGAGAAGTAGATGTGTGTGTAACAGAAGGACAGCAAATTTACTGTGGCCAGCCTTGGCTATATGGTGACACCGTAATAATTAATGAATGACTTTTATAGTAAGAACATAATAAACAACTTAATAATTTGCAGTTACAGCATCTTACTTTCTTAATTTAAGAAAGTTCAAAAATTAGATTGCTTCTCCAGTATAGATTTCCTTCAGGTGAGAATGTATGTACACAGCATAATAAAAATTGGTGGTTTAATCCAATACTGCATTTACTCTGTTACAGACAAAACATGGATGCATACGCCTGAAGCATTATCAAAGCATTACATTCCCTACAATGCAAAGGTAAAATAGTTATTAGGATACTATCTAATTTTATTTTGCATATGTTATTTTGAATACTTGTGCTAATTTTAGAAAGATTGTTTATGCGTTGACATTTCCTGGTAAGTGGTATTTGAAACTAATTTGACATTGCTGAAATAAGTAATATAACATATAGAAAATCATTTTAATCTGTAAATTCATTTAAAAACAAAAGTATGTACTATGTAGTTTCTTGAGTTATGTATTTCATTCATTCTTTTTCTTATTATGAGTTGGACTCTTACTGAAGTTATTTTGCAATGTCATTGCCTCTGGGAAATTAAACAACTTAAAAAATTAGCTTCTGTTAAACACATTTTAATATTGTGGTACATCAAAAACAAATAAAAACTAATCTGTGAAAGTGAGATACAATTTTAATATGTAATTGGAATCCAAGAAAACAAGCAAATGAAATGGAAGCCAGGAAAGCATACAATGTGTTTTTGTCATTCTTTCTTGGATTACTGTGTTCTGGTGAAGAAGCAGAAGCATTAATGCATATGCCATCATTTTAAAGATTTGATCTCTTTGAAATTGTACTGAAGTGATGTAATGTATAAAGGTACATTAAAGAGAGATGAGACTTTGTAGTTAGCAAAAGATCGGAACTTGTTCTCAGAGAAATTGAGTCAAAATTTTGAAAAGACAGACACAAATATAGTATTTGAGACTTTAAACATGGGGTTAAGGCAAGCTTGGACTGCTTCACTTTGAAGAAAACATTGTGGAAGTATGAAATTTTAACACATAAAAGAGAACCTAAGGGTTTATAGGCTAATAAACTATACTCCATGATACAGTAAGCATAGACTTGGGGGTTATTTTAGAAAAATGAAAAATTTTATTGAGCAGATTATCAACTGTGCTTAGTGGAAATCTTCCACTGTGCTGGTTCAGGTCCATGTTGGCAGGAAGAATTGTATAGAGCCTTGAGGGGGGAATTACCCTAGAATATGTTAGTAAGAACCAAGATTTGTTAGTGACAGGGAAAAAATGTGATTTCATGGGGAAAATGCTCCAATGCTTTCCACACAACAGAAATATGCCTGAAATTGCTGTATGTTTATTAATTTCCATATAAAATTGACATAGAAGCTGATTGCTGTTACTTATCATGTAAAGTTATCAAACCAGAAAAAAATTGTATTACCTATCCTACAGAGTATTAATCATAAAGAGCATGTGATAAATAAGGAAACATATCACTCATGACACCTATTGTTATTTGCAGATGCACAGGCAGGCTTTACAGCCATAGTACAATTATATTCCTTAGGTGAAACTATCAAGGCTGTTTCATTTTTTATAATTAAAATGCATCATATCGAAACTCTGGTTTGTCAGTATTAGGAAGCTCCATTCTAATTAGAACTACCTTTTATTTTAGTACTGCAGGGTTAATGTGACAATGGAGATCTGTATGTAGACAGATTCAGTTACTTGTGCTATACCAGACAATAACTGTAAAATTACTGATACTAATGGAAAACTATAGAACACTTCCCACACAGGGGCCAGCATCATTCCATAAAGCTTTAGCAACAGTGCCTAACACAGAGATGATGTTTAATAAATGAATAACTGACTAAGTGTTATTAAGTGCATTGATAGAGCACTGCTCTTGTTTTTCATTTAGCTTATTATGGGAAAGCAGGTTGGTTTCCTCTGTCTTATTTTACCTCATCTGTGAGAATATATATCATGTGTGCACCTAGCAGTATTATAGCCATCTGAAGAACAGTCAGTTTCCTACCCTGTAGTGCTTTGTCTTTTTAGTGGCCCTATTCTAAAGGTGTGTTCTCTTCTTGTTAGTCCATATACCATATGAAAAGTCAGCCTGTGTTCATAGGAGGTGGTTTAATATAGCATGGAAGATTATAGAACATGGAACTAGACTGCCTAAATAAGAAGTTTAGTTCTGTATCACTGGGCAATCTACTTAATTTTCTGTATCTGTGCTATGCATTCAAGAATAAGGAAGTCAATAATAACACTTTCTTACATGAATTGTTTTAGATGTAAAGAGGATAGATGAAGTTTAAAACAACATATGACATAAAATAACTACCCAGTAAATATTAGCAACCATGAACACATAAGTTTTTCTTAAAATTTAACAAGGGGACAGTTTCATAGTAAATTTATTTTATAAATGAGTGATATATCAGTACAGAACATTGTCACTGAAATACATTTTATTCAACCCATATACACACTGGAGACATATGACTGGTGTGTTTTACATGACTTCTGTTATTATTGATGCTTATGATGGCCTTGTATACTGAATAACAATATTATCATCACTTTATATGTTAGAAAACAAATGGTAAAGCCTACATACTTTGCCTGTTGTCACAGAGATAGTAAAATGAGACAGTTGGAAAAATTGAGGTCTGTTTGACTTTAAAGTTCTATGTTTTTAAAAACCAAATATGATAATACCAGGTTATACATTCAATATTTAAATACCTATTATGTATAAAGCTTTACTGGATACTGGCAGCCTCCATAATGGTAACAACATGTCTTTGTTTGGTTTCTATTGCTGTGATAAAACATTGAACAAAACCAACTTGGAAGGAAAGGGGCTATTTGTCTAGTAGGCTGTGACCCATCATAAAGTATACCCAGGGCAGGGACTTCAAGGCAGAAACCAAGAGGCAAAAGACCATGGCAGAATATTGGCTTGTTCCTTGTCCTTCTCAGTTTGCTTTCTTGTACCACTCAGAATCACCTGCCTTGATCTGGTACTGCCCATAGTGGGCTGAACCCTCCCATATCAATCCTTAATCATGAAAATGTAACACAGCCATGCCCAGAGGTCAGTCTCTTGGAGGTGATTCTTCATTGGGGTATGCTCCTCTCAGGGGACTGGAATTTATGACAACTTGACAAAAATGACCACCACATACCATGTTCTCTGCTATTCACATGACAATTATGGAAAGTTGTAGAGATTCAGAGAATAGTAACTCACCCTTGTGAGGCAGGATTCCCAAAGTTTAAAACAGGGTGAATGTGGTTTCCATCTGAGAGGTGGGGCAGAGTAATTTTAGTGTGAGCACAGTGAGTAAGGTACATGTTCCACATAATAAGAGCTGGGCTGCAGCTGGAATACCCAAGTGCTAAAGCTGTTTATCAAAGATCTGTCCTCAAAGTCATATCATTAGGATTGTGTTGGCTACTTTTATGTAAATTTGACACAACCTACATATTTTGAGGAAGAGGAACTCTCCATTAGAAAATGGCTCTATAAAATCTAGCTTATAGCGAAGCTTGGTGGGAATTTTCTTGAATAATGATTGATGCAGGACTACCTAACTCAGTTAGGATGGAATCAACTATGGGCAGTTAGTCCTGTGGTATATAAGAAGGCAAACTGAGAAAGCTAGGAAGAATTCCTCCATGGCTTCTGTTTCATTTCTTGCCTTCAGATTCCTGCCTTGAGTTCCTTCGCTGACTTCCCTTAGTGATATGGGGCATCTTGAACTTTGTCAAATGGAATAAACCCTTTCCTCCCCAAATCGTTTTTGCTCATGGTGTTTTATACAGCAATAAATACCCTAACCAAGAAAAGAAAAATGATAAGGAGGGAAGGAGGGAGGGAGGGAGTCAGGAACTGGGGGAGGGAAACAGAGAAAGGAAAAGAGAGAGAGAGAGAGAGAGAGAGAGAGAGAGAGAGAGAGAGAGAACCCACATGATGGACCATCAAAATGAGTGGGCTGGGAATTCTTGCCAGGAGCTCACCCTGCAGACCACAGGTAGAATTCCCTTCTTTCTCTGAGGTACACAAATTCCATCTCTATTCTGTTCCCAGGATTTTTTCAATTGCTTGAATCAGACCTGCCTAGACTATCTAGGATAATTGCCTTATATATAAAGTATCAATAGGTTATAGGCATTAAGCACTCCTACAAAATGATTTCATCAGAATATCAGAATATCAAGGTTAGAATTTGACTGAATACTGACATCATAACTTGGTGAATTTGCACACAGGACTGCTGGTTATAAGTCTAAAGACAGACAAAACTAAGGGAAACTGAGAAGCCTTTTAGATGGTAGAAGAATCAGTTAAATCATCAACTGAACGTAGAATATTTTAATCATCTCTGCAGTTACATGAGAGTTCATCTTGATCAGTAGAAGAGCTCATTAGACCTCCTAAGAAGTCATCTTAATGGTACAAGGATTGGTAATAAATTTACTGAATGGTAGGAAATACATATGTCACAAAAAATCAGGTGATAAGTATCAGACTACAGTAGATGCAACATAGGAACAGTTTGTATACAGAGAACACAAATATGCCTACTTTCATAATGACTAAAACAATCTTACTGTTTAAAGATTGCCATCACTTCACTTTTGGCATGTACTGATTTAAATTAAGGGGATGTATTTAACATAACTGTTTTAGAATGGTAGTTGTCCCTTGAGACATATGTGATAACATTTATTTGAGAAATCTACAATTTTTAATTTTCTACTTGAAAATTACTGTACCTTTAATGTTTTATTTTGTTTTTTTATTCTTAAATCTTCTTTATTTAATTATTTTTCATTTTATGTATCAACTCCAGTCCTCCTTCCCTTTTTTCCTGCCCCCCCTTCCCACTCCCAACCCATTCCTCAGAGGGGTAAGGTCTCCCTTTGGGAGTCAACAAAATCTGGCATACCAAGGCAGGACCAAGATCCTCCCTCTGTATCAAGGCTGAGCAAGTATCCTACCATAAGGAATGGGCTCCAAAAAGCCAGTTCATGCACCCAAGATAAGTCTTGGTCCTACTGCCAGGAGCCCCTTGACAGATCAAGCCACATAACTGTCACCCACATTCATAGGGCCTAGTTCAGTTCCATGGAGGTTCCCCAGATCTATGTCCAGAGTCCTTGGCCTCCCACTAGCTTGGGTCAGCTGTCTCTGTGGGTTTCCCCACCATGATCTTGACACTCTTATTCATATGGTCCCTTCC